CTTCAAAGGTAAAAGATGCCTAATCAATCAGAATCCCTAAATGTGGATTTTTCATCACTGAAGGCGTCGTAGTTTGTAGAAAATCCTTGAAGTCTATTTCTGGGGTATCTGTCTTCCAGCAAAGACATCACACTTGTATTCAGTTTTCTTGTGATACTGATCCGAATTTCTGCATGCCAATATTTGTTAATGTACTGTTGCTCATCTTGTATTCCAGTGGTCTGAGTGCACATTCATTTTAGAGCCAAAATTGAAAGTTTGGTTGGTAGATTTGGTGTGTGCAAGCGCTGAGAACAATGCTAATCAACTTGGGGTCAAAAGAAGTATAGAATTTTATACTTTACAGTCTTTGTTGATTACTGATGTAACACTTTTTGCAGAGCAATTATTAATCTTGGGATTTATGAATAATGAGAAAGTGCACAAACTGTATCTCTCTATAAAACTAGTACAAGGGCCTAATACGTAACATCTTTTACCAAAATAAAATGTATGGGTAATTCTGTGATTTTCTGAGCAGTAATTATTAACAAATGGTGATAAATATTTAAGCCATATTTCTTAATATTAATAATTTATCTTTTCAATTTTAAATCCTTTGGAGATGAAGTACTAATGACAAGTGGTAAATATTTGTGTATTGTGAAGTCATTACCACATCATTGTGTGATAATCTCTCAGGAAGTATCAAGAATTATTTCATCTATTGAATATCCAGCCAGTGTTTCATTATAGTCCAATGTGGCTGCCTATATTATAGTACTAAGCTTACTTCAGCTTTATGACAGAAACAAAAAAAAAAGCATGACCAATTTTTGAGCTTTTTCTGCAAATTTGCACACCACTATTTGCTGTACGTTCATCAGGTTCGTACTACTTTGCATAAACTTACTTACTTGCTGTTTATTATTGAGACCTTCTTTCAAATGAAGTGTCAAGGTTACTGGACTCACCTGTTGGTAACAATAATTGTTGTCTACAATTACAGTTTTACCTAGACTTGTGAGGAGTATCTGAATTCATCTTTAAATTGTGTGCTGCCATGCATAAAGTATGCAACTCACTATTTAAACTCATTTTTTTCCAGTGCTAGCAGTTGTTTGTAAGTAGTTTTTTAGGTAATGAAACACATTTAGGATTCAGTGTATTAACTCTTAATTAAATGCTTAAAAATAAAATCAGTGATGGGATTAGATTACCAAAATGTAAAAGGACAGAAGTCAAATACAACCCTCTATCGAAATATAGGCCTAATGTCTCTTTGAAAAGAGATATAGTCTTAAAATACCTTATTTTTCAATTCAATATATATAGCAGTATTGATCAGAATACAAACGTAAATATATGAAGCGTGTGTGATTCGAGAGCTTGGTGTATTTATACCGGTGCTAGTTGGGTCTCCTTGTAGATCTTTAACATGAGCCTCTTATTTTCCATTTAAATTTTGAGATTGTTTATGTGTACTGTGTAGAAAAGTTGAAGCTGTTCTAAGAAAAGTTTCCATTCTTTGACTATTCTTTATTTAATGCAGTACAAAGACTGAGAATTTAAGTATTTTTATTGCATAAATTTTGTGACGTTTTTAATTTCTTTAGAAACTGGCAAAATAAAAATGGGAGGAGATATCACTGGGTGTTAGAAAAATTTTGACAGGATGTCAGAGGAGAACTAGAAATTAGAGCAGAGTAGAAAAGGCAGATTTTTTCCTGTGGAATTCAGATGAACCAAGATTGATTCGATTAATAGTAGTAATGATAAAATTGTGGTACATTAAGAACTCAATCCAGTAGAAACACATTATTAATTTCAGTATGTAAGTTTGATCATAGAGGCTATACATATGTTTGTGCTGGTAGAATACCATGCTTTATACTTAGACACAGATGATGATACATTTTGAACTGCTTTATTTGTAAATAAGTGTTCTTAAACACACACAAATAATTACTGAAAGCTATGTAGAGTCTGCAGATAAATTAGTAGGACAAAGCAATCTTTTTCCATAATTGCCCTTCCCAAAAGCTGGTTAAACACATATGTATAATTTCTGTTTACGTATCCAACTAGCTACATGGATTTGCTTGAGACGTCCTTTTGAAATTACACTTCGGTTGAGCCCAAATATTGCAAGTTTGCACTTAAAAGAAAATGTCTGTCTAAAACAGTGAGCACAAAGTAAGAATGGATATAGATATAGAATGGATGCCCAGCCCAGCCTGCACAACAGGGTTGCTACCATGTTGTTAGAATAATTACATTTTGGCTGAACTAACTAATTTAGAAAAACTGCAGTACATCTAGCAAGACTGAAAACTTTCCAGGACTGGTTTGGGGTTTTTTTATTATTATTTTTTAATGTAATTTGAAACAAAACCAAGAGCTGCCAACTTTGTGCCAGAAGCAGGAGGTAGATTTGTATGGGGCTGGAGGAAGATCTGGAGCTCTGTTAAATTTTCAAGCCCAGATGGGGCAACTTGATTTGTGTGTTTATGTCAGTATGCCATACATCACAACTATCCTTGTGCTTACGTCAGCTTTGATTGGACATTAATGTGCTGAACACTGCAAACTAGAAAATACATGATAGATACAGATCTATGGCAACAATGCCACATAAGCAAATGTCTGTTTGGTGTGGCGATTCACTGAGCAAAATATTCCCCAAGATACACTGCATTAAGCCAGGAGAATATTTTGACCTACTTTAAAAACAAAACCTATATCAACATGGGCAAACAGACTGCAATTTAAGAAAGCAATCCTGTTCAGAAGAAGGGTTGAAACCAACATAATGAAGCATGTATCATTAGGCAAACATTATGTTGCTGTCCCTCACTTCAGTCTTTCCAGAATTATGACCAAATAGGAAAGATGCTATTCTTATGATTTGCAGGACTGTTAATGATGAGAATACCTTGCTGATGGTTGAGCATCTTTCTATCCAGTTTTTCTAACCCATTATCAAAACCAGCAAGCAAAAACATTAATGGATAGCAAACATTTTTTCAAATGATAGGATGTTTTCTATAGTAAGAGTTGAGGTTCGCTTCCAGAAATCGTCAGTGTTTGTTTATTTATTTATGGAACAATTCTGTATTTCTTGCTTATATAAATGACATCCAGCAGCCTTCTGAAGAACTGGCAAAATACGGTAATTTCTAGACTGTAGATTTGTAGAGGTCACTGGCTACTTCAGATTTATGTTTATGCCACCTTTATGTGATTGCCTCTGTAGTATAATGTGACCAAATGTTTCCATTAAAATATAATATACTGTCTCTTTCTTCTGAGGAGGGGAAATAATTTGCAAGTCAGCTTCAATATTTCAGGGGCGGATGTAATAAGGAAGTTTAGGGATTGATGTGTAGGCAATGTGTTCTTTTATCCCAGATCACTTATTCCTCAGAAATGAGATTCTGTAGTATAATGCTATTTTATCATTATCCATCATTAGACTTTGGAGGTAAAATTGAAGTTCCCTGATTCCATGGGGATAGATCATTTTGGCCTGTGCACAAGTAGCAGCTTTGAAAAGACACCAGTCCCCAGGATTTAATGCCATCTGGCCCATAAGGTGGGGAAGGGAGGGGGTGTAAAGGTGCCATGGGATCGGTGGGTTTAGGCCTTGTAACCTGAGCAGATTGGGCTGTGCAGGACAGGCCACAAGTTACTGTCTGTAGCAGTCAAAAAACAGTTCAGATTCTTCTTTGACAGGAGCAGGAAATGTTCGTCTTTCACGTCTGCCTCGTAGGCTTCTCTGTGGCTAGGAAATAGGCTGTTACTGAAGTGTGGGATCATGAAAGCAGTTGATATATTGATCACCATTGTGATAAACTGTATGTCACTATAACATACAGACTTTACTAATGGACCAAGGGATGTTTCCCTTCTCTCTTCTCCTAATTACTTTATAATTATTATCAAGTAGTTTACCAGTATTTGAAATGACGTTTTATAATAAGCATCAGTTGTATAGTGTATGAGAGAAGCGTAGAATGTACAAAATGCTTTAAAGTTAAAAAAATATACAAAACTATAACTTGGAGCTACAGAGCTGATTCTTCATACTTGGAATGGGTATTCTGAGGTGACTGGTCTTGATACCCCTGGAAGTACGATGGGTATAGCATCTACACCCATCAAGAATACGAGTATACCAGCTGTCCAGGCAGCTTTAAGATAACTATGTCTTATCTTAAAGAAATATTTTGCTTTTTAGCACAGATCATCTCTTCTTTTTGCTTATTAAATACTGACATCATCAAAGCATTTAAGAACATTTTATCCTCTGAATATCTTTGTCATGACCTTTGGATGTTGATTTCTGCTATATAAAATTAAGTGAAGAAAGCTATGTGGAAAATATCTTGTTTAAGGCACATGACAGTACAGAGTTGCACAAGACGTAAGGCATCACTTTTAAATCACAAATATATTGAGAAATAGTAATGCAACTTGAAGCTTTAGATTCATATATTGTGTAGAGAGGAACTTTTAGAAAGAAAAATACTGGTGAAAATGCTTTGGTTTTCCATGTTGTTTGGCTGATGACCAAAATGAATAATCATGTGGGTTGTGCTTGCTCAAAATATTCGAGGTGATATGCCTAAAAGTAGTAAAAAACAAGGTTTTTGGAACACAAACAAGAGGAGGGCATCAGACTCATAGCAGAAGTTAAAGAGAGGTGCTTAACTGCCACATAGCTTATGAATCTCTCTAATGTAAGCAAATGCTTATGTTATGAAGATCTAGGAAAACATTAATTTAGTGCTCGGTTATCCCTTTTCTGGTTTCTGCTTGTCAAATGTATGTTTTCTTTAGGCAGAAGTTTCAAGTCTTTTTTTTTTTTTTAAAGAAAAAAGCCCTCTGATGTAATTGCTAAGTATTGATGACCTATTTTTTCCCCACAGTTTGTCACTGAGAAGACCAAGGCTTACTCTATGAACATTTATTACCTTTTTCATCACATAGGATGTGTATTTTGTTTCCGTGTCTTACAGAATAAAGCAATTATGGAACGTGTAACAAACTTGTCAGATATGGTGGTTGGTCTTGAATCATTTATTGGCTCGGAGAGAGAAACCAATCCATTATACAAGGATTACCACGGTAAGTTCCATCTTTAGTGATGCAAAAAGTCTGCCCTGAGTGTTTCTAGGGCACTTAGCGGCTTACCCTCCAATTGGGTGTCTGCTCTAAAGTAGCATTTGATTTCATTTTAGAATATGCCTCTTAAATGCTTCTCCTTGCTAACCAGTCTTGAGTTAGGAAAATTTTCAGTAAAGTGCATTAAGGCTGCAAAGGAAACATGGCAACTCCTTGCATGTTGTCAAGCCGTATTACTGAGGCATGGCTCAATCAGATGTACATCTCAACAGGCAGGCTTTGGGGAATTCGCATGCAGAGGAGGCTTGGCAATCATCTGACCAGCGAGCTGAACTTGTCATGAAATCAATACTTCTGATCTGCCAAGTTTTAAATAGAGAACACGGAAAAACATATATGATATTAAGGTGAATAAACTGCGAACTGATGTGCTATATAAACTTTATCTAAAAATTATGTTCTGTTTTTCAGCTCTAAGTTAAGGCGGTTATGCATTTAAAGAAATGAATGTGGATACATGTGGCATGTAAAATATTCAACTAATTTTGCTCAAAAGTCATGTAGCCTTGCAAGTGATTTATCTTCAAAATGTGTAATGGTGTTTAATCTTGCAGGTTGTTTCCGAAAGATTTTGGTAGCTGTTGCAGCAGAACTATTTAAATTTTAAAAGATTAGATTAGGAGTTCTGCGTAGCTAAAGCAGTGAATAGCAAACAGGTTTAGCTAATCTAGAGGGGTGCTCTGAGTGTGCATAAATTACAGCTATTATTATAGTGATACTACTGTAGTTCCATGGAAACCTTTAGTTGAAAGTAAACTGCTTACCCGAAACCTGCTGTAAATATGTGAGAATGTGGCAGTGTTTTCCAAAGCAGAATATATAGAAAAAGAGAAGCAAAGGTGGTGTTGAGACACCACTGTGTGTATGCAGGCTGTAATTAATAAATCAGAGAAAAACCTTTTTGACTAAGAAAATAGTGCACATTTCATTGTCTGGAAAAAGGTGAATGAAAAAGAAACCGTGAACAAAAGCTAGAATAATTTGCCTAATTATTTTTCCAATTCTATAATCATGATGTGGCATTTGTTTATGCTAACATAATTCTGTCAGTTTGATACTCCTTTTCCCAGTACTGAAGAGATCCTTTAAGACAATGTGTGGTTTAGCAGTTATTTCCGGGTTTCCTGTAAAAATGTATGCTAAATCCTTTTCGGTACTACTTTGTAAAAATTATATGCCACAACATAGCTTTTGAGGTTTAGGCAACCTTAATTTAACATTCTAAAGATAGGTATTTTTTACACTTAACTTTGTGGATTCTTTTTCCTTAAGAATATATAATGATTTATTTACTGCAGATGATGGAAGATTTTGACATTATTCAGGAGAAGTTTGATTAAATTATTGCATTATTTAACGTATCCTGCATTAATAATTTTATTTAAGCTGACTACAAATTTAGATGGTTGAAAAGTCAATAGAATAACAAAATAATTATAGAGATGAAATAAAATTTTTAGAATACTGTGTATAAGCAACCCTGTGTTATACTTGCTGTTCCTATAAATAATAATTCTATTTTGAACTCGAAAACCAAGCAAATAATTCTTATACATCACTGGACTGGAGACAGGAATAGAAGATTTCAAAGTGTAAAAGTATTTTTGTGGTCTTATTGGTGATTTTTGTAATTAGCACCCATAAAAATTATGCTTTTTGAAGTATTTCAATTTTAGGAAACTTTATTCCCTTATTCTTACTTTTGAAAAAATAAGTAAAACCCTGAAAAAATACTTGCCTCATTTTAAATTAGGGTTTTAGTGTTTGGGGTTTTCTTTCTCACAGCTGCCGTTTTCACGTGAGATGTCTTTTCTAAATGTTCAGTATTTCCATTTAGACGTTGCCTTTGTGAACAGCAAATATAGGCCAGTAATTGAGAAGCCCTGTAGAATTTTCCTGGGTTTCAGATGTAGAAAATCACCCTTAGGATGTTCAGAAACTATATTAGGCTGCACAAAAACCATCCAGCGTCCTTGTCAGAAGAAATCAGCTTGAGTTGCAGCTGACAGAATGCAGAGCTTGCAGTGCACCTAGTACTGTTAAAAACATCTGAACGGCGACGTAAGCCTCCCGCATGAAGAAAATGTATTTCTCTTAGGACAGTGTAGGGGTTAAAATTTATCGAAAAGCATGATCTAAATCGGTATTTTCCAGAAACTTTTTTAAAGGCATTTTCAGGGCGCAAAATGAAGTACTTCTCATTAGAGCGTCAGTGGTTATCAGTAACCCATAAGCCTTGTTTTGCTGGCTGCTTACTGGTGCATTTAATAAAATAAAGATCACTCAGTGGTGCCGTGGGCAGCATGCAAGGTGATAGCCATATTTGCTTACTGTAAATACAAGAGAAAATCACACACAAACCGGCTGTAGTTTTGACAAGTATTAAGATCCCACTTTACATCTGTACTTCTGTACCAAAGTGCAATTAGTTTTCCTCGCACAAGGATTTCTGTTTATCTTATTCTGCTTGATTACTTGAGTATAATCGCACCGTTTGCTTCATTGCTCCTGGTAGTAAGCTCCAGTTTAAACAGGGGAGGGTGAGTGTGTGTAAATATACAGAATTCTGCTGTAAGACTCTAATTTATGCATCTGGATGACAGCGTTTTCTTTTTTTTTTTTCCCTACTTTACTCTTTCTTTCCACAAGGTTTGGTTCATGTACATCAGATTCCTCGGCTTAATAGCTTGATCTGTGATGTGTCAGACACGAAGGACCTTGCTTTTAGATTAAAAAGGAAGCAGTTCACCATTGAGGTAAGAGAAACAGTTTTGTTTCACTATTCAGAACCCAAAAGGTGGAGCTAATCCCATCTCTTATGTTTTCATTTTGTGAAATACATAAAATATGCATCCGATGTTGTAAATTCATTTCATTCTGGTTTTGCTGTTCAGAACGGTTTTATAAAATGCTGTAATATGCCTTCTAATTAAAAATGTCTCATTTGCTGCACTAAATCGCTCTGTTATAAATAGTTTATTTTGGTTTAAAATGTACATAGAAAGTAGGCCACAACCTTCAATAACAAAGCGTGACATGTTTCTAAGGATGTCAGAAGCATATTTAATTAAATGTTAATGACTTGCTCTTACTTGTGTTAGTGGGTGGGAAAGTAGCTACATGTTATTACCCCAGTAGAGGGATTTTAATGTATAATGCTGCCTAAAATTGTGTGTGGTATGAGGGATAAGTGTCCTTATCAGTATTCAGAAGCCATTTTCTTTGCATTACTGAAATCACCTTTCGCTCTTTTATGTCATTTTAAACACAGTATCATTTACACTAATGTCCTTAAGTAAATTTCCTACTAAATTCAAACTTTTTTCTGTGACCTTTATGCAGACAGTCTTGATAGAAGGCAGTAATACAAAAGATGGATTTCATTTTAATCTTGCTAAAGAGCAAATGAACATAGCACTATTAAGCAATTAGAGCTGATGTATTTATTAACCAAGTAATGCTTAGAGATGGGAGATGGCTTTCGGGGTGATGTGATAGTCGTTGGTACAGTCTGGGCAAATTTTTTTTTAACAAAGACATAAAACAGCCAAGCATCCCTGACAAACCATTTTGTTTAATCTCTTTTCAAATGAAAAGCTCTTAAGCAGGCCACTTGTCTTAACTGCTTGAAACCATAAAAAGAGAGAATTGCCACCAATAAATTAGCATATTTTTTACTCCATCACCAAATGATGGTCAATGTGGCTTGGCACTGCTTTGGTGTTTGGGACTTCACCCTTAAGTGACCACTTTGGCCCTTATTTGACCCTCTGCCCTTTTTAGCTGGCCACTTGATAAGGTAACTTAAGGGTTCTCTCTCTTCACTGCCCCCTCCCCTTCACAATTGCAAGTAGCCCTAACCTATAAATCATTGAAAGGGCCCTATCAAGTAACAAATTAAGGTGCCCTCCTCCTAATTAATGGTCATCAATGTCTTTAATTATCTAATCCTATTGAGAGTAGTTAATAGTTAATCAGGCAGTCAGTTCTTCATGCAGGTCATCTCTGCATGAGTGCTAGAAGTTTCTCAACTAGAGGTATCCTCTTCAGAAGCCACTTAAAGGCAAATTCGTGAAGAAGGGCTTTTTTCCCAGAGACATTCCTTTATAATGTTTCTCCCTCTCCAGAGAATGCAGTTAATGAAACCGGGCATTGTGAGGTATTAAACCATTTTAACAACCGCTTTTGAGGGGTACATTAGAAAGGAAAACCTTAAAAGTCTGTGGTTGGTTTTAAAACGCAAATGTTCTTACTGTTTTCGGAAGTGCAGAGAAGCGTGCACCCTCATTTCACAGCATAGTAAATTCTCATTTATTACAGCTATGAATTAGGATACTTGGGCTTTTTTTCCTCACTATGAATCCTGACTCAGAATATAATTTTTTCTGTCAGCCGTAGTTGGGATTTTAATTTGTAATGTAATTTTGAAGGAAAAAATAAATGTAGCAGGACACTGTAAAAAGAATTGAATTAGCCATGGGGCAGAAGCGTTGGAAACAGGGGTGTAGTGGAACTCCTGAAACAACCTGTTGCCCTAGACATGCGTAGGTGACCCGCTTGTAGAATTTCTCCCTTCATTGCTCAGCTGCAGCCCCTTTTGAATAACTTCAGGTTTTGTTAGAGATGTGCTTCTATAAGCTGAACTGACACAAAGTAGCCCTTTTTGTACATGTTAGATCACCATGCTACTGTGATCTTCCTGTACCCATTTCACTAATCTATAATACATATGTTTTTCTTCCTCATACTATTAGGGGAGGCAGACTACGGCTAGGCTGACTAGAGCAATGAGGTCAATAAGAAAATGGGAGCAAGGGAAAATTGAATTAAGAAGGGATGTGAATACAGTCTTCTAAAATGGGTTTCTGCAGTTAGAATGTGATGAGTCAGCAGTCAGGTTTGGTTACTGTGGTAAAAACAGAAAGCAGCACGACAGCGTGCGTTACAAGCAACAGTGTGCTTTATACAAAGCACAGCTAAGTTTATGACTTCTTTAGTATGTAGCTTAAATATGAAGTGAAAATATGGTTTGGGTACATTACAGTTTTTTGAAAGCTTGTTCTTTGTTATGTACACAATTTAGGGTAAAAATATTAACCTCTACTTGAAATGCCACCTTCAAATCAAATTACATAAGAAAAGTTAGAAATACACAACCTATGACATGCTAAAATTTCTCCAAAAAAAGTTTTCATCCCTAGACCATTTGTTTTTTACAGTTTAAAATAAGGGCATGGGACATGGATTTTCTCATCTCTGGGTTGCTCACCAGTTAAGTAACTCTGTACAGTTTGGCCCTCATCAGTAAAAAACCGTAAATGTCAAATCAGTTTTATTAGGTTGCAGTTTCGTGGGAGGGGCTCTGCCTCCTTACAGTCTGTGGAATCATTTAACTGTTTCAGTCTTTCTTGTATCCTCTTCATCAAAATAAGATTGATTGAAAAGTATTCTAAAGGGATTTTTTTTTTGAAGTTCAGGATGAAAATGTTTTTAAATGAATATTTATGAGTGTTGATTTTCCATCTGTAAGTTATGAAGTAGACCCTTTCTGGGAAAACTTACATGTTTATGGTAAAAAGGTGCAGTAGCTATATCGAGCTTTCCCAAATCTTCACGCATTAGTTAATAGCAATATATTATTATATGCAGTATTATCCGAGATCTATCTTATGTGCATACCACTTTAAAGGACACAATTTTGAAGTTAGCCTGTCTAATCCTATTTCTTCCCACTTTGGAATCTTAATTAGAAGGAGATAAAAACCATCATTTGACTAAATTATTGTCTTGAATCTGTAGCAAAAGGTATAATCCGCAATTGGGCCAATTAGTGTACCCCATAGTTAGCTATGCTGAGGCAGGAAACTTGATTAGATCTGACACCAGCCTAGTTCCCACTGTTGTTTTGCCAGGTATGATGGTCAGACTTCAAAGGGCTCGAGGCATCAGCAGGGCAAGGTTTGGAGGCCAGCTTAGGTCCGGTCGTTAATCTCTCTGCTAAAACCACAGCAGCCCTCGCACAAAACAAGCTTACACGACACAATCATGCGGTATTAAAGTTTGGGTTGAGTCATGCCAATTTGCCTTTGATTTTCTGATGATTGACTAAAAGATGGCTACATGACTAGACACATACTGAAAGTTTACTGATTAGGTAAGTTCCCCAAATATTTGAAATATTTTTTGATTTCTCAGTTAAATGATATGACAACCTGTTCATCTTAATGAAACTTTTCAGCAGAATTGTTCTTGAATTACTTTTGCTTTGTTTGTAGCGTAACTTTTATCAACATTTGATGAATTTTGTAGGGACATTATGTTCATAGTTTTATTTGATAGAACTTTGATCTTTGTTGTTCCAAAGCCTCCTGTATCAAAACCAAAGGAATATGTGCCTAAATCTGATATTTTCACTCCTCGAAATTTCTAAGGAAACATTGTTTATCTTTGTTATTTAGGTGCGTTTACAATTACTCGCAAAAAGGGAATTTCCTCTTAAGTATTTTCCACCTCACCGTTGAGTAAAGCGCTGTTCAACGGCTGCGATTACATAAGTGTTCCTTTCTTTTGCAGTCCGATTTGTTGAAATATTGCAGTAACAGTGACATGTTTCCATTCTGAGAAAAGCCTAAGGCTGCTTTAGTATTATTCCAAATGATTGAAATTGCCATCTTGCTGACTTTCCCTTGGGCAGCTTAAGGCCTGTTTACTTTTGTATTTGTTTCACATGTTCCCTCTGAGTTTGGCTGGCAGGACATCATTACCTGGTTTGACAAGACAGTTGGAGACGATTCATATTTGATTAACTCCCTTTGTTACTCTCTGGTCAACATAAAGCTCTGAAATTATGTATTTTAAGTTAAAACTTTTGACAAATTCAGATAAATGTTTACAAGTAGAAAAGTTTCTGAATTGTTTTTTTTAATTCCCTAGTTTTGCTTTACTGTTGATTTCTGAAGTCTTCAGGTAACAGTCAATTGTTAATGGTACTGAGAATAAGCTTCTTCCTACAAGTTGTATAATATAGTTTGTCTAATAAATAGTTGTTGTGATTTTTTTTTTTATAATTCAGATCAATACTCAAGTAAGAGCCAGCTAATGTGATTTTGTTTTTAATGGCTAACACCTGTATAAACCAGAATAAAAGTCTTTAAAAGTCAGCTCAGTTTGAAGCCAGGTATCATACACTGTATGAAGAATTGCCACACAGCAAAAATAAGTAAGTTTTAAGAGCTTAATGTATGAGTTCAGGAGATTCTTTTCTGAGAGGTGTTTCCTGACAGGAAGAGAAGAAAGTCAGAATTAGAAGGGTCCCCTGGTAGCCAAGTTGCTAGTTTCTCAGTGGCAGGCAGATACAATACGGTACTATGGAGCACTCTGTCTGCAGTGTATTTTTGCTAGTGACAATTGCCAGAGTAAAAGGTTCGGGCTTTGAAAGGAAACAGAATCACAAGAAACAGCAAATGAGTCTATATAGAATTAAAAATAAATGTAGGATTCCAAAGGCATTAAAATAACGTACTTTCTTCATCTGTCAACAAAGGACTATAAGAAAATTAATGATTGCCAAAAGAAGCAAAATTTCATTGTAACTCCAGATATTCATGTGTATGTTATGTGCCCAGCAATGGTATTTGGAAGAAGACTTAAAACTCTTTTCTTTTAAGATGGTGAATTTGGCAATTAAAACCAGGAAATACATCTTAGGTAGCTTCCATCTGAAATCTCTGTATTTCAATGTTGGGTGTTCTTTTTT